CAAAGAACCTATTGCAATAAAACGGCAATTTCATACTTTAACCCCTATATATAATCTATTACTTTTGTGATTCAATCATTTGGTGATTTATTACTTTATTTTTAGAATGTTTCTTTTAATTACATAATATGCTAGTCACATTAATTGTACCTAGATCTCAATCTAGGAATTTCCCAGGACTATGAATACCACACTTACGATATCATATATATTTAATCCCCAGATTAAAACCGATCTAGAAAAGTTCGATTGTTGAATTTATCCCATCAAGAATCAAACACGAGATATTCGCATCTAGCGCGCGGAGTTCAACACCCAATGAGGTCATAATTAAAAATAAATTGTTAGCCTGTGTATAGTCCCACTGCTGGGCACAGGCCTCCTCTCGCAATGAGAGGGCCTGAGCTGTAGTTCCCGCGCAGTCCAATGCGATTTGCGAACTTTACACATCATTAAATTGCTTTGCAGATTCGTGAAGGTTTCCTGAGAATGTTTTCTTTTTTATGACATCAAGTGACGGGACGAACAAGTCATGCGCCTGCACGACACACCTGTGCACAACAGTGGCAGTGCTGCAGAGCTTTAATTAGCAAAGATCTAAGGGGCACTTCTACTGCGCTTGTCACCCTGAGACATAAGTTGAAAAGTTCCATGTGCCTGTTATTTCACCAGTACACCTTACCCTTCAAACTCGAAACGCTCACATTTCAGCTTTGCGGTAGAAATAATTAAAGTAGTAGTACTTCATTGGACGAACACTTTCACAAGTACTGAGTAATAAAGTACTTTTTAATATAGCTATAGCTTATATCATAACTTCATTACCTCAGTAGATAAGCGATTAGAACTCCTAAATAATTACTATTTATGGCATTTAACAAAACGATTTTCTAATAAATAAATCTTCGCGTTATTTTTCCAGTCATGCAGCACCTACTTCTCCTGTTGACATTAGCTCTAACAGCAAATGCTGTAACCGATACAAATTATAGGCTGAATACGCCAATTGTACCAGCATCATACGCTCTTACAATTACTCCATATTTCAATACTGGTAACAGTTATGCTTTCACCTTCGACGGAGAAGTCTCTATAAAATTTACCACAAGCACCGTTACTAATCAGATCAAGTTACACTCCGAAGATTTGACTTATACAGCTTCAAATATCACAATCACAGGTGGTATAACAAACATACAGCTAAATGCAACAGATCCCCTTTCATTTGATACGCAATACACCTTCGCGTTAATCAACTTGCAAACAAGTTTGCAACCTGGCACAGAATATACTCTGAACATTACATATCGTGGACCAATCAGAGATGATCTCAACGGTTTCTACAGGAACTACTACATCGCCGAGAATGGCGACAAAAAGTAAGCAATATTTTTTTATGCCTTTTTTTCACGTAACATTTTAATAACACAAACATACGCACTTACATGTACGTATTTATATATTTGTTACGCTACATTAACATACATATATTATATCTACCACTATACATCTTTTGAAACTTTAGTTTCAAAGATACATAACGAGATGAGGCGACAAAATAGTTTCATTTTAGTATTAAAGGGTTACTTTAAATTGAAGTAAATTTTATATTAGTAATTAGAACTGAACATTATATTAGACGTCACATACGTTGCTCTGCCAAAGTAAGTAACTAAAGTACTTGTGTTATGGAAATCGGAAAAAACGACGGTACCACAAACACCCAGACCCGAGACAGATAGAAAAGTTAGTTTTTCTGAATTAACTTTTTTTTTCGAAAGTAACTTTTATTTCAATCAGAATTTTCTGGAAATGTTGTATATAATCAAAAGAATGTCTAACTCCATTGTTAAAGGTTTATAATTATTATATTTCATGTATAAGAAAAACTCTATGAAAAATATGGCAATTTAATATCAATGTCAAAAAAGATTGATGCTTTAATGTAATGAAAACAGATGTCTTGAATTAGTTTGTTCAAGGAATGTATAGGTAGTACATATACGTATAAAATATAATAAATCTGGAGTTACATTCTACGATCCAGTCACGAATATTATGTTTATTAGAATAAATCTTAAACGATGAAGTTCTTGACAGTGGTAGAACATGATAATTTTATAGTACAACTGTCTCAATGTACTTCAAATGCAGATAGATAGAGAGATAGCGCACATTGTGAAATACTCCACTAAAAGTACTAAGATAAAAGGTTTGTTTATTCATCGTCAAGTGGTAAAAAAGTTTCATAACACAATAGTGGAAAATGTTACTTATACGATAAAGTTGATAATGATGCTTATTTAAGAAAATGACGATGTTAAATAGCTCAGGAAGGAAATTATGATATTTACAGCAAAATGAATTATATAATAGTGCAAAATTTTATATACATGTGAAGTGGAGGAGACGATAGAGGTTTCTCAGAAGCGTAGTGTGTGGAGATTCATGGTCTCTGCCTAACCCTGTGGGAGATAATTATGATATGGTGTGTCCTTTGGTCCATCTACATAACTGTTTTTCATAACTAATTACGAAAGAAGATTTTTCCTTCGCTGTTTAGTAACCAGTTATTAATTAACAAGGACTAATTAATCTATATTCAAAAGTCCAGTTACGAAATCGGACGCAGTTTTGTTCTTTCCGTAACCAGTTACGAAAAAGGCTTACTTAAATAAGGTAAAAGACCCTATCGTAGGATGTGTGTACGTACTGACAATAATCAATAATATAATGTAATACCTGTCTGCGTGGCCGAACGGTTACGGACGCAGAGATCCTGGGTTCGATTCCTGGGCCGGGGAAGTATTTATAAGGCCTACATACATTTCACTTGTGAGTTTGGGTGTAATTTGTGGTTGTCTATATGTGTGTCCATGGGGCACGTGCGTTGTTATTGTTGCTGTTGTTGTTGTTGTAATAATGTGCCACACGGTTGTCTGGCACATTATTACAACACCAATTTCCCAATCTCAAACTTGGGATTGTCCTGTACTTTGAGTACCAGAGCAGCGGAATTCGTCGCGAACTCTATCTAGAACATAGAAACCAATTTAAAAAAATTCATTTTCCCAAATTGGTCCTACCGGAAATCAAACTCGGAACCTCTTTATTTAGCATCCACAGTACAAACTGTAACGCTACGGGCACAATGAAGTTGAATGGCATTAATTATCATATTAACAAAGACTATTTTTATAGTCATAAGCGCAGGCCACACCGCGAACGAAACTAAGCTAAGTTAGCTTTAGTCTCTAATACGATGATAAATTCCATTAAACCTTATTGTAGTCCCAGCATTAGGCCAAGGAAGCTGTCAATATATCACTAAATATTATATTTTTATTGACTATCATGATAGTGTACTACCATAATATTCATCTATTTTTTTGTGAAAATGCTTCTCTGGTTTTACGTTATTATTGATACAAAAATCGAAGAAACACAAAGAAAAATTCCTACCATCCGACTGGGCTCGAACCAGCAATTGATGCCTCGTTGTAGCCACGTTGAGGCAACAGTCGCTGACTCGACTCCAATACAATCGAACGATTTTTCCTGATGAGTAACACACTTAAGTGTCGACTACTACTCTCCTAGCAAGTGGATAGATAAGTGTTTACACTTTAAACACTAATCATTATCATTATTCTAGGTAATTACTTTATTGCAGCACTGTTTCAAAAGATCAGGCAAACCAAATATTGTGCAATTTGCCCAATTTAATACGACAATCACAATTTTCTTATCAACGTTACATTTACTACTTCTAGATGGCTGGGTGCGACGCAAATGCAGCCAACTCACGCAAGGAAAGTGTTCCCATGCTTCGACGAGCCTGGATTAAAGGCTCGCTTCACACTTACTATTGACCGCCCTGAAAATTATAAAGCATCGCTTGCCAATACCCAGTTGGAATCCACGACGAATTTGTAAGATTTTTTTTATAATATCAAGTGACGGGACGAACAAGTAGTGCGCCTGATGGTAAGCGACACGCCTGCCCGTAACAGTTGCAGTGCCACTCATTGCAAAGATCTGAGGGGTGCTACCACTCTGCGCCTGCCGCTCTGGGATATAAGTTGACAAATCCCACGTGCCTGTAATCTCACCAGCTCCGTTCAAAACTGGAACGCAATAATGCTCACATTACTGCTTGGCGGCAGAAACAGGTAAGGTGGCAGAACTTCCCTGGACGAACTCTTTCACAATGAGCTCTATTCCTACTACAATTGATTAGTATTCTATGAATCTCTCAATACCCTTATGATGACATTTTTTAAGATAAAAAGTACTAAATAACTGCCGTCATCACTAAATATAAAAGTTCTTTATTGAAATTTGTTTTTTTTTTTTCTTATTTTTGTGTGGTTTTCGAACCATGACAGCCTAATGGTTTCACCTAACGTCTCTCAAGCAGAGGCTAATCTGGGCTCGCACTCACACCTTTGAGTTTCAGAATTTATGTGCGAGATTTAGTTTTAAATATACCGTGAGCTTTTTAGTGAAGAAAAACATCGTGATGAAACCTGCACCTCGAAGAAGATTCATAACCCTCGGCAAAACGTGTAAAGTTCCAACCCACATTGGGCCTGGGGGGCGGACCATGGCCTCTTGCCTGTGCTCAGCAGTAGGATATATAAAATGGGCTGATGATGGCGATGTGATTTTCGAAATTGTAAACTTTCTTTCTTTTCTAGAAGCAACGGTTACAAGAGAGATCAATTCTACGAAACTCCTACCATGTCTACGTACTTGGTTGCGTTCCTAGTATCCGAATTCGAAGTTGGTGGTCATAACACCAATGGTACCAAAGAATTTGGTGTCTGGTCTAGGCCTGAAGCTATAAACCAGACTCATTATGCCTACGATTTTGGTTTCAAAGTTGTAAATGAGCTGAGTAACTATTTCGGAATTGACTACTACTCGACTAACGAACATTTAAAACTAGATCATATTGCTTTGCCCGATTTCCGAGCAGGGGCTATGGAGAATTGGGGTTTGATTAAATACAGGTTCGTGTAATTCATGCATGTGGTTTTCCTTTTTGCATTAAGGTTATAATAAATGATTTTCTTCTTATTAAGAAGTAATGCCTCTTAAATCAACATTCATTTCCACTTAAGCAACTTAAGGAACATTTGAGAGCAACATCGTTTGAGAATTGTTGGTTTTTCTTACTGTTACCTAAATAATTTAATTTTCATTTAGTAAAAACGTTTCACTTTTTCAGAGAGGCGTCGCTACTGTACGACCCAGAAGAATCGACTCCTTATTACAAATATCGAGCAGCGCAAATCATAGCTCACGAAACAACGCATATGTGGTTTGGTAACTTAGTGACATGTTTTTGGTGGAGTAACGCTTGGCTGAATGAGGGCTTCGCTAACTACTTCCAGGACTATATTACAGCTGTCGTAAGTATTGCATTTAAATTTGGGTAAAAATGTTCCATTTAAGTATAATTGTTGCTGAATATGTTTTACATGCTAGGCTAAATGTTACTATGTCCCACAGGTCATATTTATAATTCTTTGCATATTTTAGGTTGAACCCGACGTGGGTTCAGCAGATATTCTCGTCACAGGTTCCGTATATTCTGCATACGAAGCCGATGATAATGGAAAAGCTGCACCAATCAACAACGTCGATGTTAATTCCCCCGCCGAAATAAGTGGCCACTTTGGCACTATAACTTACCAGAAAGCAGGCAGTGTTATCAGAATGATGCATCATTTGCTTGGAGATGATGGATTTAAAATTGGACTACAAACCTATTTAGATACAAGGTAAGTCCGGCCAACTAAGCTTTACTTCTACAGTTCCTAATATATTAAATCGATCTGCTTAATTTGTAAATGAATTATGGAAAGATTGACGATCTATCTAGGTTCTTTTGTACATATTTTAAAAGCTTCTGGAGAGCCCACTACATAAAAGACTAAATTCACAATCCGATTCATCAACGATCGACACTTTGTTGTTTGATCGATCGATATTCGTCGATTTAATAATGAATTGAATTTATTCTCTTCCACAGTTAAACTTATATTTAGTACATAAAATACAGTGTATACTTTTTATTGTGGAAGACTGGTGCTTAAACTAGGTAAACCCTGTATTATGAGACACCAGGTCTCCCTTTGCCAAAACAACTGACGACGATCGGCGTCGATCGGTTGGTTTGGCATTATTTTTTTTAAATATCAAAATTTGACAGTGATTGAAAGAAGAAGGAGAAACTTGTGAAATTTATTTAATTTAGTATCTACATCACATGCAAAATAGGCGCCTTGGCGTCGAGTTGCGGACACCAGCCCGTTACACCAAGTACCAAGTAAGTAGTATCTAAATTTCATTTCTCGTTCCACAGAAAATTCTCTTCTGGATATCCAGATGACATGTACACTGCGCTGGAACAGGGTGTAAATAAAACTAATGCTTTAGTGGAATATCCTAAATTCACCATTACTGAAATCATGAAGTCATGGATTGAGCAATCAGGTCACCCTCTCCTGCATGTGAGCGTAGATTACAATAATGGAAATGTTACATTAACACAGGTACATAAACTACCTTTTCTATCAAGTTTATTTTGTTCTCGTATAATCTCATACTTATTCGATTATTATTATGAAGGGTACAAATTATATTTAAAAGAGTTACGAATAACCACAAGGAATACGCAATGATGATGTTACTATGCAATTCATTTGTGTAAAATATGTTTTGGAATTCATTTGTGTAAAATATGTCCGTGAAACCGACATAGTGTCGGTTTCACAATTGATTACAGTATATTGAAAATATGTATTTTGTTCCAGGAACGGTTCTACACTAATCCTGCGAATAGCTCTAATGAAACGTATAAAATTCCTATAACATATACAACAGGGCTATCACCAAATTTTACTATCACCAAACCGGATTTAGTAATGGCAGATAAGACTTATTCCTTTGTTATTCCAGACTTGAAACATAATTGGGTGATTTTTAATATTCAAGAATCAGGTACAACTATTACTTCTATTTTTATATAGTTATGTATCTGTATTACAAATAATAATTATTATATATTTTCATCCTATTACAGGTCTGTATCGGGTAAATTATGATGATATGACATGGACTCACATCATCAGCGCTTTAAATGGAGAAGACCGTAACAAAATTGCGCCACTCAACCGTGCCAAGGTAAACAATAAATATTTAGAAGTTCTTAGGTATATTTTTGTTTGTTCAAATAAACGAACGTTTGGGACTCTACACAGGTCCCATGGTCACGACTGACAGACGCATTTTTAGAACCGAAAACATTGTTTCATTTTTAAAAATTGTCACGTTCCTCCTAACTTGTTAACATAATTTTCAGCAAAATTTTGTTCAAGATTGTTTCTCCTTCTTCTTTAAATCCCTGTACTTCCTTTCTTTATCTTTTATCTCGGCAGATATGTTCTTCATTTAAATATTCAGTAAAGATATAGGATTTTTTATTTTTTTTATTTAGGAATTTTAATTGTACCTAATATTTTACCCACCTGTGAAACTTCAGGTAAATATAAAATTATTGTAATTGATTAATTTGAAATAATAAATCGCTTTCAGATAATTAATGATCTCTTCGCACTGTTTTTCGCTGATAAAGTTAAATTTAAACTCGTGAACGATGCTCTAAATTCTATGAAGGATGAGACTGACTATTCTGTATGGTTGGCGGCCATTCGAGGACTCAACAAACTTCGTAACAGATTCATTGGCACCAGCACTGTGAACAGTATTGATGTGAGTTTTGTTATAATTATTAACACAAAGATCGAACACTACGAAAAATTCCTTCCATCTGTCTGGATTCGAACCAGCGCCTTCAACGTACCGTATCTGACGCTTTGCCGACTGAGCAACGGAACGAACCAGCAGTCTTCACGAATTTATCTGTGTGCTTGTTGCAAATCTTTGTTTTTGGTTTTGAACGGTTTTTTGCCGTAGCGAGTTTTCTTGTTTTTTCTTTTACATAATGTTAGGTTCGTCTTAAATATATTGCTTATAGGTAGGTATGCATTTTTAGTACTGGATTGTTTGACAGTTACATTAACTTGCATTTACCACAATTAGGTACATCTATATACATGCACGGTTCAAAATCTGTAATTTTGTTTTTTTGCAGTCTAAAATCAAAACCTTGCTAGATTTAGGCATTAACCAAGTAGGCTACGAAGTAAAGGCGAGTGAGAGTACAGTCCAACTCAGAAATCGAATGCAAATACTTGAATTTGCCTGCAAAGTTGGTCATAGCGGCTGTGTGGAGAAGATGACCGAAGTTTTCAACAATTTTAGAAATAATAGCAACAAGTAAGTGGAACTTTTTTAAATTAGACTTATAATAATAATAAAAATCATAAGAATCATTTATTTCGGAACCAGGTCCATAGATTGTTAGTAAGATTACAAACTGCCTAAGCCTAAAAGTTAGTTACACAATACATACACAGCAACATAAAATAAATTAAAACACACAGCGGTATGCAGTCGCATCTAATGAGCGAACATCGGCGAGTCCCAGCGAGCGGACAACGCGCTCAGGATGTGGTTGGGGCTGTCGCGCAGACGGCATAGTGCATAGTGGCGCACCTATAGCGCATGATGCAAACCCTCTGTGTGCGCCTCCGCGAACATACCCGGAACGCGTTGTTGTATTGTACGCGCAGGCCGTTGTATGTCCTTCGCGTATAGTCGACCCACAGACTGCACGTGTAAAAAGATTGACAATAAGCTTTAAAAAGTAAAATCTTTACTTGTCTTGTGCAGCGCGCAAACATGTGGGTCAACATATTACAAAGTATTACATGTTGCATATTATTGTAACATTTAGTACCTGCCTTAAAAACTATTAGCTCGCTCTTCAAAACATTGTACCTGAGCCCCTGCCTCACGCCGCATTCCAATCCATAACAGTCCGAGATAGCACTTCCCCTAATATTTAAGTTATACCTAAACAAGTCTGTTACTTCTCGCGGCAAACTGGTCTCATTATAAAGTTTGTCCCACAATACATTATATGAAACCAGGTCGAAGGCCCTCGAGAGGTCCAGATAGCACCCGTAAACTGGGGTCTTTCTAGCAGTATAGTACTGGACAGTGTGCTTGAGACACAAGATAGCACGCTCAGTCGACAGACCTGGTCTAAAACCAATTTGTGCATCATTTAAACTCAGGTGCTTACCCAGGTGGTCGTCAAACAGTCTGTCCGCAATTTTTCCAATCACGATGGCCAAAGAAATTGGCCTATAATTTGATGGATCCGACGAATCACGCGTCTTGTTTTTTACGATTGGCACCACTATTGTTAGCATGAGATCGTCAGGCAAGTAACTGTGATGAAAAACGTAGCAAGTACCCGCAGCAAATGGCAACCCGCATGTTGCAAGTGCTCAATGCTGAGGCCGTCATGATCGCGATTTACCCCTTACCATTTTCTTTATGACTAATGCCACTTCTTTTGGAGAGAATGAGACCGTATGTGCGTGGTGGACGGCCTCAGCCCCAAACACCTGCGACGTGGAGTGTAACGGAGACTCTACTCTAAAGTGACTTTGAAATATTTATTATTATTTTATTATTATTTATTTATTAATTACAAAAACATTTTCTTAATCTAGAACATAGTCCCACAAAACTGAATTATTCAGTTTGACTGCGGGATCAAAACATGAATCTCGCTATTACACTATTAATAATTAATCTAAACTAGTCAACAAGTGCTGAAATAAAAGACGTTTAAATTTATTTTTTTTATGTTCACGTCTAATAACCTCAGAGAAACTATTCAGTAGGTACGGAATTCGTTTTTTTAGGGTTCTATCTCCATAATAATTCTTAACCTTTGGTACTACATATTTACTTGAGGTCATTGATATCGTGTTACAGTCATTATTAACAGGACACAATAATGAGCCACGCTCCTGTGTTTCAAAGTTATTAACAGCTACAAGATATTTGTGCTTTATGGAAACTGGCAGTATTTTATATATTTTAAACAATTTATTATATTCTCCATTACATTTATCTTTTGTTTTACAATTCACTAAAAGTTTCAAAAATCTAACTTGCATATTCTCAAGTCTGTCTATGTATGATTTAAATGAAAGTCCATAACAATCTAAAGCATAACTTAATATGGAGTCAACCAATGACATATATAATCACTTCAATGTGCTGGCTGCTACTTTAAAACTTAAATGATAGAATTTTCCCAACAATATTCTTAGCTTATTATGAATAAAATCAATATGATTAGACCAAGAAAAGTGTTCATCAACTTTCATACCGAGATAAGTGACACATTTCACTCTTTTTATAGGCTTACAACTACAATTAATTAAATTATTGTGTATACAATCAAATGAATGGGAGAGTGTATAACTAATAATTTTGTTTTATCAGCATTTAGTACTATGCCATTGTCATGGCTCCACTTGGTAATTGCATCTACATCTAGTTGAACGAGACGACTAATTTCTTCGAGATCAGTACCTGCACGGAGTATACACAGGTCATCAGCGAAAATATGTGCTGTACAATACTGCAACACACCACATATACTGTTAACATGCATCAGATAGCACACTGGCCCGCATCCCGACCCCTGTGGGATTCCGCACTGGACTTGTTTCTCTACACTATACTCATCACCCACCTTTACTCTATAAGAGCGCAATGTTAGGTAATCACGGAACCATTTGTTCAGTGGCTCACCAACCCCACACTCTTCCATTGCATTTAACAAGTTATTTGTTTGTAATGTAACAAACGCTTTTTTTAAATCAAAAACACTGCAAATATGGTTTTTTTATCTCCTAAATTGTTATTATTTTATCTGTAAAATTTGATAACAAAGTGTTAGTACTTTTACCCTTTTGAAAGCCATGTAGACATTTATTTAAAACATTATTTTTGTGCAGATTAATCCCAAGCTGATCAACTATACATTTTTCTATAATTTTATCAATAGAGGATAAAATAGCTATTGGCCTATAATTTCCACAATTTTTAGAATTTCCTTTCTTATAGATAGGACGCACTATAGCCTCTTTTAACTTACTAGGAAAACTGTGACTACTCACTGACAAGTTAACCAACTTTGTTATTACCGGGGATACTTTATCTACAGAAAACTTTAAGTCAGACATACGCACCAGATTACAACCCGGTGACTTTTTTGAACTCATATTATTTATGATTTTCTTAACCTGATGATTTTTCACGGGTTGCCACCTCTACTGCCTGTCCGCTCTTTTGACATAACTATCCCTGCACAACCATTTACTGTTACAATTATGTTTTATTTGTTCTATTCCATTAATAAAGGCATTGGCGAAATTATTGCAAATATCTCTCACATCCATCTGAGAAAAATTAGATAAGATGAAGCTATCTAAATTCGGTCTTCTATTTCCCATTAATATATGAATTTGTTCCCATATTGTTTAAATATTTTTATTACAGTCATACACTTTTTATCATACTCATTTTTACACTTAAACAATAATTTTGTACATTTATTCCTATATCTTGTATAATTTAATCTTATAATTATTAATACAAAGAATGAACATTCAGAAAACACACTCAGAAAAAATTCCGACGTCTTCTTGCATACCGTGCCAGACGCTATACCAACTAAGCCA